TCTTCTGTCTCTTTCTACTTTCTGCATTCCTCCTCTTTTACAACCCTCTCTAAGTGTCTTATAAAGTCAGCATATTGCCCCCAACAATCTGGGTCCTCATATTACCGATCTAGGAAGGATGGAAGGCCAAATCAACCTTGAGCCGGTGAGACTCGAACTGCCAAATTGCAGGCTGCCGGCAATCAGCAGAATTAGCCTGCAGTACTGCATTCTAACCACTGCGTCACCACAGCTCACCACCTTGGAATGAGCTCCAAAGGATCAGAGAACTGGATTTGTGAATAGCATAGTAGTAAGCGAAGCAGAGAGAGAGATAGTTTGTGAAGCCTCCAATTATAGGATGGGTAGGAAAGGGGGCTACAGCAGCAGATCATTAGATAGGAAACTCTTAAGACAGCAATCAGCATTTAAAAGCAATTCATAATGACATTATATGGTCAACATATTAGAGTTTTTAAAAGTTACACTGCTGTGTGCCCTTCTAAGACACTCTTAAGGTTTTGGGCAGGATTTTGTGAGCCTCTGGTGCTCACCACATACTTCAGACTCAGTCTCTTCAGCCCTAACAGAGATTATGGCAAGTTTATATGGGAGTCCAAACTATCTATTGGGCATCAGTGGCATATAGGCTTTATTATGAGAAATAGAAACTCAGAACTCTTTTAGCTAAAGCAATTATTTTCCTTTGATTTTAACCCGGGGAAAAGGACATTCAATGAAAAACTAGCTCACCTTGAAAAATCCTGAATCTCTTGAAGATATCATCAAAGAAAGTATCACACGTGATTTAGAAATAAAAGCAATATTCTTATTCTTACTCCTTGGTATGGCTGGTCAGACAACTGCCAAGGAAGAGATCTGTCAAAATGGACTCGGGGCTGCAACCTCTGAAGCTGATGATCCTGCTCTTCTCTCCCTCCTCCTGTGATGGAAATCATGTTATTTCTTATATAACCAATTATGATTGGCTATATTGATTCTCTGCTTGTATCTCCCTTGTTGGGATGAATGGATCTCTCTGCATACAAATGATGATTTTTAAAAGATTTCTGGGTGGGGAATGAGGGAATAAGTTTCCTTTTTAAAATCTTCAAAACCTGCTTCAATAAAATGTGTATTGTGCATTATGCCTTTCCCTGTTTCATGCTTTGTTTATTTTCTTTCATCCTTCATGATTCCTGCGTAATTGAACAGGCTACAATCATTCCGGTGGCATGCCGCGAAGAGGGGGTTGAGGGTTTTTTTAAGTAAATTGGGTAAATTTTTAAGGGGTCCCGGGGGGGGGAGGGAAAAATTGGAACTAGGGTTGTGGGTTTGGGGGAAGACCCACCAAGGGGAGGGTCAGGCCTGGCCATTATGCGCGGCGGAGGGGATGGGGGATCTGGAGATGATGGGAGGGGGTTGAGCTTGTCCAGATTGTGTTTCTATCATCGGTACTGTGAATGGGAGGGGTAGATATGGCGGGAGCAGGGGGCCATATCATGTTAAGGGAGCACGCACCCGCTGTCTCCGAGTGGTAGTGTGCTCCGGCCCCCAAGGCTCCACTCGTTCTCCAGGTTGTACAGACCCTCAGGGCCCGGGCCTTCGACTGATGTTGTGCAACGCCAGGTCCCTAATAAATAAAGCCCCCCTCATTTGTGATCTGGTTCAGGGGGGGGAGCGGACCTGGCGGGTATTACGGAGACCTGGTTGGGCCCGGAGGGAGGGGTCCCTCCGGTAGAAATGTGCCCACCTGGCTTCCTGGCATTCCATCAGCCGAGGTCCCAGGGGAGGGGCGGGGGAGTAGCGGTTATTATTAGAGAAGGCCTTAGGCCAAGGGAGGCCACTGTTCCTCAGACGGCCGGTTGTGAGACCCTCCTTGTGAAGTGGGGTCATGGGGTTCAGAGGGGTTTGCTGATCACGTACCTGGCTCCCTGCCACATGGCAGCAGCCCTGCCCGAGCTACTCAACGTTATCGCCGCGGTGGCGGTTGATACCCCCAGACTTATGGTCATGGGGGATTTCAACCTGCCGTCCGTGGGTGAGATGTCTGAGGTGGCTCGGGAGTTCATGGCTTCCATGACAGCTTTGGATCTGACCCAACTAATTCATGGCCCTACGCACATGGGGGGAAACACAGTGGACCTGATTTTTGTCTCTGGACAGTGGCTGAGTGATCTCGAGATAGGGGACATAGTCATCGAGCCCTTGTCATGGTCGGATCACTCTCTCCTTCGCCTTGACCTTTGAACCACTGCACCCCACCGCAGGGAGGCGGAACCGATGAGATGGTACCGCCCCAGGCGCCTGATGGAACCTGATAGGTTCCAGATGGAGCTTGGGCCAATTCCTGAGGTTCTGGCTCACGCCTCAACTGGAGACCTAGTGGCCGCCTGGGATAGGGCGGCCGCTGGAGCTCTGGATCAAGTCGTGCCTTTGCGGCCTCTGACCCGGCGCTGATCTCACCTGGCTCCTTGGTTTACTGAGGAGCTGAGGGAGATGAAGCGCCGGAAAAGACGCCTAGAGAGTAGTTGGAGGGCCAGTCGTTCTGAATCTGACCGGACACTGGTAAGATCTCATATTAAGAATTACCTAGTGGCAATAAAAGCAGCAAAATGCACTTATCTTGCTGCTCTTATTGCGTCATCAGATAACCGCCCGGCCGCCCTGTTTAGGGTGACCCGCTCCCTGCTCCACCAGGAAGCGAGGGAGGACCCTTTGGAGGGAAGAGCTGAGGATTTTGTTCAGTATCTGTATGACAAAATCACTCAGATTCGGGAAGATCTGGACTCTGACTGGGTAGATCCAGCGGGGATGACGGGGGCAGGTCCTGAGAATGTTATCTGGGACGAGTTTGATTCTGTGACCCCTGAGGACGTGGACAGGATTCTGGGTAGACTGAATGCGACCACATGTTTGTTGGACCCGTGCCCCTCCTGGTTAGTGCTTGCTTCCCGGGAGGTGACGCGAGGCTGGCTCCAGGGGATTATAAATGCTTCATTGGGCGAGGGTGTCTTTCCCGCCGCCTTGAAAGAGGCGGTGGTGAGACCTCTCCTCAAGAAGCCTTCCCTGGACCCGGCAACATTGGCTAACTATCGTCCAGTCTCCAACCTTCGCTTTGTGGCGAAGGTTGTTGAGAGTGTGGTTGCACGACAGCTTCCCCAGTACCTGGATGAAACGACGTATCTAGATCCATTCCAGTCGGGTTTCAGGCCTGGGTACAGCACGGAAACGGCATTGGTCGCGTTGGTGGATGATCTCTGGAGGGCTCAGGACAGAGGTTGTTCCTCTGTCCTGGTCCTATTAGATCTCTCAGCGGCTTTTGATACCATCGACCATGGTATCATGCTGCACCGGTTGGAAGAGTTGGGGGTGGGAGGCACCGTATTACAGTGGTTCTCCTCCTTTCTCTCCGACCGGTCGCAGTCTGTGTTGACAGGGGGGCAGAGGTCGACCCCGAGGCCCCTTATATGTGGGATGCCACAAGGATCGGTCCTCTCGCCCCTTCTGTTCAACATTTATGTGAAGCCGCTGGGCGAGATCATCCGTGGTTTCGGGATGGAGTACCATCAGTACGCTGATGACACCCAGCTGTACATCTCCACCCCAGACCACCCCAACGATGCCCTTGAAGTGATGTCCCGGTGCCTGGAGGCCGTACGGATCTGGATGGGGAGAAACAGGCTCAGGCTCAACCCATCCAAGACCGAGTGGCTGTGGTTTCCGACGTCCTGATATAGTCAGCTGGTGCCATCGCTGACTATTGGGGGCGAAGCATTAGCCCCCACGGAGAGGGTTCGCAACTTGGGTGTCCTCCTGGATTCACGGCTGTCTTTAGAAGAGCACTTGACGGCCGTGACCGGGAGGATTTTTCATCAGGTCCGCCTGATTCGCCAGTTGCGTCCCTTTCTGGATCGGGACTCATTACGCACGGTCACTCATGCCCTCGTCACCTCCCGTCTGGACTATTGTAACGCTCTCTACATGGGGCTCCCCTTGAGGAGCACTCGGAGGCTCCAACTGGCGCAGAATGCGGCCGCGCGGGTGGTGATGGGAGCGACGTGGCGCTCCCATGTAACACCTCTCCTGCGCGAGCTGCACTGGCTCCCGGTGGTCTTCCGAGTGCGCTTCAAGGTTTTGGTTATCACCTTCAGAGCACTCCATGGCTTAGGACCTGGCTATTTACGGGACCGCCTGCTGACACCAATAGCCTCCCACCGACCAGTACGCTCCCATAGAGAGGGGCTCCTCCAGGTGCCGTCGGCCAAACAATGTCGACTGGCGGCCCCCAGGGGGAGAGCCTTCTCTGTGGGGGCACCTACGATCTGGAACGAGCTCCCCCCGGAGATACGGAGGATTCTGGATCTGAATACCTTCCGTCGCGCGCTTAAGACGTTCTTATTCCATCAAGCTGGCCTGACCTAAACTTTTCCTCTTTTTAAATGGAATTTTAAATTTGGTTTTAATTTATTGGGGTTTTAAAATGGTTCAGCCAAATTTATTTAATTAGTTTTATCTTTATTTTAAATTTTGTATCTATATGTTTTATTTTATGGCTGCTCACCGCCCTGAGTCCTTCGGGAGTAGGGCGGTATACAAATTTAATAAAATGAAATGAAATGAAAATTCCTCTGGCAGAGCAGATCTATGCAACCACATATGTTAGAGGTTCAAAGCTTAACTTCACCAGACAGAGATCCTGATGCAGCTCTTCATACAATACTAGTAAACTTTCTTGAAATTGTTATTTATTTATTTATTTATTTGTATCCCACCCTTATTATTTTTACAAATAACTCAAGACAGCGCCCATATCCAACACATCTTCCTCCTATTTCCTCACAACAATAGGTAGGACTGAGAGAGAGTGACTGGCCCAAACCCACCCAGCTGGCTTTCATGGCTATGGCACGACTTGAACTCACAGTCTTCTCCTTCCAGCCTGGTGCCTTAATTGTGAGACTAAACTGGCTATTCATGAAAATGTCAAGCTCAAAATCAAGGATAACACATGGTAATTTTTGCCGGCAATTTCTTTATTGTTTCACACCTACAGACAAAATATTTCGTATTAAAAATGCTACTATCAACTTCTACAATGTAGTTTGAAAACTATTAAGTAAACTATTAAGGCTGTCTTCCCCACATTTTTCTCTCATACAGAATATCTGGACTGAATCATCTCTTATTCCTATGAAATACGGCCCTTCCCTCTTCGGAATCCACCTCCTCATTAGTTTCTAGCACAGGTATTTTGGTTAGAAAATCAAGGATCAGCTTATTGATGGATGTCTTGTCTGTGAGCATCTATTATCTGTGGGATAGCAAGTATTTTTTAAAAAGTATTACCATATATACTTGTAGAGAAGCCTATCCATCAATAAGTTGAAACAATGGTGTATTTAGGGGTGTATTTTGGCACCTAAAATTCTCAGCTTCTTTGTGAATATATTCCCCAACTTGATATTCTGCCAAAGCATTGTGAGTTCTAGATCTTGAAGTCCTAATACATTCCTCCTTAAAATTCAGTATTGCTTATGCCCTCGTCGGTTTATTAGGAGTCGTAATGCTGGTTATTAAATTCCTTTTTAAAAGGTTAGTAGAGATTGTCAGCAGTAAAAACCTACATGGGACATGGTGAGCATACGTGTACATTACATTAAGGTTTTTCTTTGAATCAGCTTCCAAAATGCCCCCTTGACATCCTTGTTTCTCAGGCTGTAGATCAGAGGATTGAGCATGGGAGTCAGAGCCCCGTATGTTAAGGATATGACCTTGTCTTTTTCAGAAATGGATTTCCCTTCAGGTCTCAAGTACATGATCATAATTGTTCCATAAAAGACACTGACCACAGCAAGGTGAGAACTACAGGTGGAGAAGGCTTTTCTGCGTCCCTGGGTAGAGCTGATACGTCGTATAGCCAGGCCTATGCGGATGTATGTCACAACTATGAAGCCAAAGGGAGGGAATAGCAGAAAGAAACTGGAGATATGCATAAAGAGCTCACTGACTCTGTTGGAACAAGCCAGTTTGAGTAAAGATTGCAGTTCACATGCAAAATGGTTAATGGTGTGATGGCCACAGAAGTCGGTGGGCTGCAAGAGCACGTTGACCAGTGTCGTCATGAAGGCAAGGGCCACTGACATGGCGACTAGATAAATGCATAATTTCCAACTCATGATCTGCGTGTAGTATAACGGCTGGCATATAGCTGCCAAGCGATCATATGCCATGACTGCCAAAATGATGCACTCTGCTACAATTAGAAATAGACCCATATACATTTGGACCAAACATCTAGAGAAAGAAATTGTGGGCCTGTAGATGAAGCAGTTCACTAAAACCTCAGGAAGTGCATTGTTGGTAAGAATAAAGTCTACTGTGGAAAGGACACAAATGAAGAAATACATGGGGGTATGAAGTCGGGGGTCAGCAATGATCAACATGATGATGAGTCCATTGCCAAGAAAACTAATGAGATACACCATCAAGAGGAACCAAAAGAGAATAATCTGAGCTTTGGGATATTCTGATAATCCGATCAGGATGAATTTGATCACCAGTGATTCATTTGAAGTTCCTATCTTATTTTCTCTCATTCTCTCCTGCAGGAAAGAATGAATGGTTGATTACTGACAACATTCAAAAGAGATGCAATACTTTCACTTTAAATTTTTAGATTGCCAAAGCTGTATAGAAAAAATAAAAATGAAATAAAAACTGTTTGAAAACTACTTTGCACATCATGCTTAGACAGAATTTGTTTTAACCATGATTTATTGAATACAATTGTTGGATTCTCACATGGGTAGATTCACACATTGCATTAAAGTATATGTTGTTTGCAAACTGCTGTGACCACATAAAATGGCACCAATTCATTCTTTGGGAGGGTGGAAAGATTACAAGAAAATCATGTTACTATTCAGAATAGAAAATAGGCTGATGCTTTTATTAGAAAAAAATAACTATATTCTAGGTAGTCCATTCTCAAACTATCCAGAACACGTTTTTTGTGCTGTAGTAGAATCCAAAGGAGAGGTTATAAATCAAATTCTTGGTCTCCTCCTTGGGCTGTCATATGCCATGAAAGATTAAGATTGAGAACAGAGGTTGGTTAGACAACTAAATCTCACAAAAAGAAAAACATTCTTGCAATGAAAGGTAAAGAGAGTAGAGAGAGAAGAGATGCTTGCAACAAGTTCAGCCTTCTCAGAAAAATAAGCATTAGAATTACCAGAAGACAATTCATTTCAGTAGCAGTTCCATTCTCATTCCGTTTTGTTTTGGGGGTTTTTGCCTCAGTCTTCTATTTAATTAAAATCTACATCTAGACTTCCTTTTTCTGTCCCTTCTTATCTTTTTGAATTAGCCTTTGTTCAGATGGATAATTTAAAGGTCATTCACCCTATTTCTTTCTCAGATCCTTTAGTGGCAAACATAAGAGATAGTCCTGCTATGTCTGTAGATGTATGCACACACAAATACAGACCCACAAAAATCCACCCTCCACACACGCAGATATGATGGAATTGAACATCTGCTCCTTGTGTTCACTTCATAGCAACTGCATATGTTTGCCACCAGGCAAAGCTCCTTCTGAAGACAGGGCTTCAAAGTCTCCTGTCTAGATCAAGGACTCCATTAATTCACAATTTATTTTACAAATACAAGCAGAGAACAACTTACCCACTTAAATTATCTTCTGTATTTGTCTTTTTATCTCTGAAGTTTTGCTTATCCAGTGTTCTTCCAGTGATAAATGGTCAAATATGGTCTCTGCATCATATATATGCAGTACGCTAAGCGTAGTGGTCCTCATTGCATTTGCTTTTACTTCTGAGCCACAGCTCGAGAGGAAAAACAAGCACTTAAAGGGGAAAAATATTAGCAGAAGGATAGTGTCTTAGATCTATTTTTTGCCTTGGCATTAAGAACAACAGTCAGTTCCTTGAGGTAAAAGGGGTTTTTTTTCATTCTCATCTTTTCCCCAGTGGGTAATAAATGCCATTTCTGCTGGAAGAAGGCCGAGCTAAAATTCCAAGGACAGGTCTTTAATTGCATTTCAAGGGAATTTCCTGCCCGTTAGGTTTAAAGTCGAAAAAATAAATTATTTCATCATTTAAATTCAACTGTGCCATTCTTTTCCAGAAGGACAGCTTTACAGCAAAACCAATCTTTTTTAGTTTCTCAGAGACTGACAACATTTATAGCATAAAATGGCTGTAGAAGCCAGTGTTCTGGTGTGCTTCACAACCAAATGAGAATCCAGCAGTGGGAGAATAGTTTAATGACCACATAGAAGGGGGCGGTCCCACAGGAAGCTTGCAGAACCAATGAGAGACTCCCTCCTGAGGTCCCCGCGCAACCTGTTTTTGGCCAGTAGAGTGCTGCTGGAGGCTGGGGAGGCCAAAAATGGTCCATGTGGGGGGCCCGTGTGGTTGCTTTTTGGCCCATTTTTGGCCCATTTTTGGCCCTGGTTTCTGGGCTAATTGCCAACTCTTTATCTAATCTTTGGAATTTCTGGCAGGCTGTTAAGGACATTTTTAGTAATAGCCTGCATTTGAAAAAGACTGTTTGTAGTAAACGGAGTTGTTCAGAGTTTTGTGTGTGCTACATTTCTTGGGTTCCGTAGCTGGGGCAGAACAGGGCTGCACGTGGCACATTTTAGCCAGCAGAGGCACCGTGGGCCGGTCCTTTGATATTTTCAGGCCTGTCCCACGGGCCAGATTTAAGCATCCCACAGTCCGAATCCGGCTCACGAGCCTTAAGTTTGACACCCCTGCCTTAGCTTGTGCATCTCTCTGGGGTTCATGGAATACAGCTTTTGCTTAGGCAGTTTAGCTCCTGGCAAAAATTCTATCACACAGTCGGTGGGCCAGTAGGGAGGCAGGTTGTTGCATTCTTGTTCACTGAATGCGTTGGCCCTGTATTCTTTAAGGACCTGGGGGCAGCCTGGTGATGATTTGGCACCGGTGGCAGTTTTCTCACAGGTCTCCGGGTCACGTGGCAACACCATTGGTTGGGCTTTGCAATGAGGGCGAGGTGGCAATGGTCCCACTCCTAGTCTCACCTTCCTACAGCCATCCTCCCATGTGATGGTGGGTGCCCATTTGTCAAGCAGGCTAGACCCAGAATAGCAATAGCAACACCACTTAGACTTATATACCGCTTTACAGTGCTTTATAACCCTCTCTAAGCAGTTTACAGAGTCAGCATATTGCCCCCAACAATTTGGGTCCTCAGGATGACTGACTGCGTCATTTTTGGTGCCACCACAAAGCGGATAAGTTCCCAGTGGTGGTCGATCTCCAGCCTCACCAGCTCGGTGACTAGGGTGGCTGAGGCTCCACCTATTAGTGTCCCATCAACCTGCTCGAAGCATATCAGGCACACCAGTGGCTTTGTGGTTATTCCTAGTTTCTGGATGGTGGGAAGGCTGATTAGGCACTGGGTGCATCTGGTGTCTATGATGGCCTCTATGTCTCCCTGGGCTACTGTCCTAGGCACTACTATTCCTGACTTTATGGTGAAGGGTCAGATTGCTTCACTTACCATCAAGTCATCTTTGCTGTCACCGCTGCTGTCACTAGGGGCAGCTGGCAGGGTTTCCAGGGCAGGAGTTCCCTCAACCTCGAGAGGAGGGAGAAGATCTCAACACCTTGCCAGGCGAGCTTCTCTTTCTCGGCTGGCTTGCATGGGGTCTCCTTTGCCACTGTAGGGGTCCAGGCCTGAGGGATGGGGGATGGAGCCAGACACTCCGATGCTTGATGGCCTTGTTGGCCACATCTAAAGCACTTAATGGACCCAGTTGGGGTTGGATTTGGCTCTTCCAGCTGTCTCTAGCTTGACCAATGACCTAAGGCTCTCTTGGGTTTCTTCTCTGGAGATGCTTTTCGATGCAGGTGGATTTTGAGGCTCATGGCCACCGCCACTCAGTACCACTCATGTATGCGTTTGGGGACACCCAGGCAGGTGCATCCTTGCCACAGATCTAGGACTCCTTGAAGTAATGGACAAAGAGGTGTTCAGGCCAGTACCACAGTTTTCCCACCACTCTACGGAATTCCCACATCAGTTCATTTGCGGGGTAGTCCTTTTGCTTGAGATCCCTGATCTCAGATTCGGCCTCTTGTCCTGGGGCCATGTTCTCGAACCATGTTCTCAGCTCCTGCAGGAACTCATCATCATCTCCAAGATTGGGGAGGCCCTTCATCATACAGTTGAAGGGGCCATTCGGCCGTTTCACCTTCCATGTTGTTGGTGATGGATAAAATCATCTCCTAGTCCAATTGGTACTGGTGTCCATAGCAGTCAATGTGAGCCCAGTTTCAGTTCAGGAAACAAGCCAGCTTCTCAGACCTCCTATCAAAGGTGGCCCTGAAGCACGGTGGGGCAGCTGGCAGTGCGGGCAGGGGTGGGCACCATGGGTTCCGGTGCCCATTGGCACTGGATGCCTCCTGTTCTGACCTAGGCTTCCTTAGAAAATAAACAGCATAAACTTAGTCCCGGCAAACCTCTTTAATTCGTACAGCTTTAAATTACTTTCATTTACAGTCCGCAAGGCTTGATAAGCAGTCTTTCAGAAGAAGGTTATCAATACCCACCTATCTCACATGGAATGCTGCCAAAGAGCTAATTTCCAGATGCAGGGCAAGGCCAAACTTGGAACAGAGTCACAAACAGAAGTTTCAAATCTTGATCAGCCAGATGAACTAACTGCTTCCTGAAAAAGCTCACGTTCCTTTCGCTTCTCTTTTATGTCTTATGGGAAGAGACAATCATCTCCAAGCCTTACTCCAAAGATCCTGTTTCCTTAATTGTTCCTGTCTCCTGGCAGCTCTGTACATGCACACTCTGGGAACAGGCTCACGCTGTTCTTCTGCCTTGCTGATATCAGACTCCGGAGACTCCGGAGACAGCAAAGAACTACCAGATGGCCTTGGCCCTCTCTCTGCCTCCAACTCAAAGCTGTCGTCTGAGCCTTCCCCAGACTCCAGGACTGGCCCACATTCCACCCCAACCTCCTCACTGTCCGAATCTGCTGCCATCTCTGCTGGACTCTGCTGGGCCACAACACATCCCTGGCCGGGATGGTAGGCCTAGCCAGGGGGGATTTAGTCCACCAGTGGCAAATGGAGGGGTTGTTGATGTGGCAGTCTGACTGGCCTTAGCAGGCCAAAAACACCCTGTTGCAGCCCCAGGCTGGACTGGCCAAGGGGGGCCGATGGTTTGGCGGCTATCAGAGTTTGAGCTGTCAAACTGGTAAATTGGGCCTGCTGAGGGAGACTTGGGCATTATCCACTGTGCCAAATGGAACAAGGAGGAAATTCTGCTCGGGATGGTCACGTTCTCCTGGGTAGGAAAGATGAATGTCGGCTGGACCAGGGCCATCACGGTTTGGCTGGCTTGGTGGTATTGACTCAGGCTGCTGACACTCAGTTGACCGACCCTCTCTGGCAGCCCATCCAAAGTCTGGCTTTGTGACAGCAGTTGGGCGCCCCATTCCTGGGACTCACTGAGGTCCAGGGGCCGCATGGCTCTCCACTCAAGGACAGTGGTGCACTCTGCCAGCGTTGAAGCAATCTGGCATTCCTGGAGCATCAGGTGGCCAGTTAGGTCCTCCTTCACCCAGTAGAGCTCTTGGGCAGTCAGCCATTGACTTTCTCTTTGTCATATCACAACTATCCATGCCACTCACATCTCACGTCATATCCTCTTACTCTACAAACATTCTATTTCACAGCAACATTTTTCATCCAGCAAGCTGCAAAATACAGCAACAAATCAGGTAAACTCAATCCTCCTCTTTTCTTTGTCTCTTGTAGCACCTCATATTTAACTTGCAGGTTTTTTCCCTGCCACACCAATTTAGATATGTAATTCCATCACTGTTTAAATGGTGCACAGGATGTCAAAACAGGTATTGCCTGAACTTTTATTAGATTTACAATGTTCTAATCAAGGAATCACCAAGAAAAAAACTCGAATCCCTACCAAAACTGGTAGAGAATCTACTATATATAAATAGGCAGAAGACCCTACTCTCAACTACAAAAATGGGATACGGTCTGGATTGAGAAAGGAGATTGCACTGTTTTCAGCCAGATATGAGTTCTGTGTAGGTTATTCTTCCATGGCTGAAACACCATGCAGTGATAATGGGGAAAAGCTAATTTTTAGTACCTACAATAAATACTGGTAATTATGAATAACTGTCAACTGCAGGTGCCTCTGGGTAATAGACAGAGATGAACACTGATTTAATCTGATATCTTTTTTCCAAACAGTTTCCAAAAAGCTCCTTTCACATCCCTGTTTCTTAGGCTGTAAATTACAGGATTCAGCATAGGAGTCAGAGCTCCATAGACTATAGCTAGGCTCTTTCCCTTGTCAGAAACAGACTCTCTTTCCGGCACCATGTACATTATGGTGATTGTCCCGTAAAAGACGCTGACAAGAGCAAGGTGTGAGCGGCAAGTGGAAAGGGCCTAGGATTTGGCAATTGTTAACAGGATGCTTTTTTAAAAGCTTTCTGAAACACAATATTGGTCCATTAATTCATTTTTATCTTGAATTGAATTGGATAGAATTGAAGTTTATTTTGCAGTCATGCTGACATTGCTGAGAAAAAGTCCTTTCTGTGGTGATACTAAGGATACAGAATAAATGAAAGCCCAGGTTGTATCCAAAAATACCTTTACTGTTCTCAGAGCAGATAACATTTTAAATGTACCTGGGTCTGCTGCTTGTTTCAACAGAGTGTATTCTCCTTGCAGTCATGGCATATGATCGCTTTGCAGCTATATGCCAACCCTTACACTACATGCAGATCATGAATTGGAATTTATGCACTTCGCTGGTAGCTACATCAGTGACTCTTTTTTTTTTATTATTGAAAAAGTTTTTCAAATACAGATTTTTCCGCCTCCACCCTAACCCCCCCTCACCCTCCCCTCCGCCCATGGCTTCTCCAAAATAAAATCCAAATTAACATCAAATTATATAATACTTTACCATCCTTTTACACTCCCCCCCACATGCTAACCATTTCTTTCTAACATTATTATTATATCCCCCTATACTATACTATACTTTTCAAAGCAACCTTCAGCTATAAAACTATATAATAAATCCTAATTTGGCATTTATCCAACTCATAATCTACCCATTTCCTCCACCCCCAAACATATATCTCTTAATTCAAATCTTTTGCACATATTTATATCTAAACATAACATCCCTTTTCCTAAACTAAACAATCAATAACCTATCTCCACCCATTTTCCTACAGGTCTAACATACATAATATTTTTAATATCTTTGTTCTTCTGCCCACACCACACCACTAAAAGATATTTCCATATATAAATAAAATCCTCAAATGACTTTAAATTTGTAATCCATATAATATCTTCTGTAATGTCTTTCAACTGGATTATTAATTCCATCACCCATGTTAGGGTAATATCAAGTTCAGCTTCCAACAGTATATTCAGTATCTTCAATTACCATCTGCCCCCATCAATAATAAGTATTTTCATATATAAAAAACCACCCGAGTGACTTTATATTTATATTCCATGTAGTATCTTCTGTAGTGTCTTTTATCTAGATTGTTAATTCCAACCACCACATTGGGGTAACAACCAGATCTTCTGCATGCCCCAATCCCATAGATCTCTTGCCACATAACTCAACATATACGTAATCCATTTTTCAAAGAGTCCAAAATAGAAAGTTCCAATCCACTCAATCAGAGGCCATCTTCCACATCCCAAAAGCATTGCAGAGATCTGTTATTCTTCTCAAAATAGTATAAGTCAATAATTTGCCTCAGCTATATTTTCATGTATCAGCCGTCTATAAATCCCGCTTATTATATTTAGTCGTCTCTTAAGTAACTGGCATTAAACTGTTGTTTAGTTTAAATTTTTTTAGTTTTGTAGGACCTGCTTTTTCTTTTCTTGGCTTTTTGTGGTTTAGATTTCCATCCTAGTTGCCTTTCTAGAACTTGCATATCAGCTGATTGATTTCCATGCTGGTCTATAATTTGATAAGACATCACATTAAAATCCAAAGCCGCCTCTCTTGTTTTTATAGGTAATCCAGCTATAACCTCTGAAGGAGAATCTAAAAGCGGCTCATCCAAAAGGGCTCTGCAACTTGTTGTTTTTCCATTACCTCCATCTCCGTCTGCTTAGCCTGAGTTTCAATCTCTTGTTCATTTTGCTTTTCTTTATCCCCCTCCTGTATTCCTAACACTGATGGCATACATGGAGATGTTGGATCCATTTTAAAAACCTTGTAGTAAAATTCTTCCGCTTTTTCAACAGTATTTAGTTGATATCTTTCTCCTTGATATCTCAATATTATACCAACTGGAACATCCCACCTAAATGGGATGTTTTGTTTCTTTAGCTCAGTCACCAAAAATCCAAAGTCCTTTCTATCTTTTAACATCTTGGACAGCAGCTCTTTATATATCCAAATCTTCCTTCCGTTCCTTTCCAGAGTGGAGTTAAAAGACTTTTGCACAATATCATTTCTTATTACTCTATCAGTAAAGTAAATCACCACATCTCTAGGCAACTGCCTTTGCTTTGCAACCCAAGAATTCACTCTGTAGACCTTATCAATCCTACAGGATACCTCTTCAGGACTAACCTTTAAAATCCCAGCCAGAACTTCAGCAGACATCTTTCTCAAGTCATCTCTATTATTTTCCTTTATTCCCCTCATTCTGACTGCAAATTCCATGGACCTGTATTGCATCATTATGACTTCTTTTTCAATTCTTTGTTTTATATTGTCTGCATTGTAAATCTTGTGGTCAGCTTTCTGTATTTTAGACTTTACTTCTGAGCTATTGTCTTGAATATTTATCAAATCATTTTCAATTCTTTGTATTTTATTGTCCAAATTATAAAACTTATTATCAACTTCCTTCATTTTAGACTCTAATTCTAAGTTCGTATCGTTATCCATCTTTATAACTATTTCTGAGAAAGTTTTCAAAGCTGTTACAATCTGTTGTTTCAGGTTGGCATATTTTCGCTGTACCAACTCTTAATTTCCTGCCTGAATTTTTCAAGATTCTGGTTCACAATCTCATCATATCTTGCCATCTCCTCCAAAACAAATTCCTTTAGGTCTTTAAAACCATTCTTCTGAATCTGCAAGCTCAAAACTTGTTCATATGATTTGTAAATGGGGGATCCCCCCCCCACTGATTGTTTGTCTGGCTTTGTCAGTTTTAACGCCATTCTGCCACACAGACAAACTCTTTTTAAAGAAAAAGATTTCTCTCCAAATGATATCAATATCAAGTCTCTAAAAAGGAAGAAACATAAAGTAGAAATTTTTCTCTTCAATACTAGCCAGCGCTATTATTTCAGATACTTTGTAACGTATTGAACTATTCAGGTGGAAGGACTTTCGCTTTCAGCTTTCTTCTTCTCAAGCCTCAGCCAGTCGCCATTTTAAGCTTTTTTCTTCGCTTTTAAAATCACTTATAAAATTGTTAGAAATACTTGCGATTTAGGGTCCCAAATCCGGATTTCATCCTGTTTGTTTAAACAATCTGTTAATTTTCATTAATTGGATTGGTCCCATCGCCTGGCTCTGCAAAAAGCAGAGTTTCCCCGAAGCCCAGAGCAACGGTGAGCTGAATAGGGAGCCACATTCTGCTTCCTCCCCAAGAGTAATAAAAAACTCTGGGGAGTTCGCAGAGGGCTCTACCTGTCCTCGCCGGCTCTATCTCACGTCTCCTCAAGGAGACGGAGTTTTTCGAGCCGTCTCTCAGCTGTAGAGACGGCTCTTACAGGCAACGAGGCTGGCAGTCCCGAAAGACCATCTGGCAGCGACGGAAGCCAAACCAGAAGCCGTCTACATCAGTGACTCTTGTTTACACTTTTACCTTGATCAATGGGCTTTTGCAGCCCACTGACTTCTGTGGCCATCACATTATCAACCATTTTGTCTGTGAGCTACAATCTTTTGTCAAACTGGGTTGTTCCAACTCACATATCAGTGAGGTCTTGATGAATGTTTCCAGCCTCTTTCTCTTAATCCCTCCCTTTGGCTTCATAGTTGTGACATATGGTCGCATAGGCCGGGCTGTAATGCACATTCGCTCAAATCAGGGCTGTCTTTAGAAGAGCACTTGACGGCTGTGACCGGGAGGATTTTTTATCAGGTCCACCTGATTCGCCAGTTGCGTCCCTTTCTGGATCGGGACTCGTTACGCACGGTCACTCATGCCCTCGTCACCTCCCGCCTGGACTATTGTAATGCTCTCTACATGGGGCTCCCCTTGAGGAGCACCCGGAGGCTCCAACTGGCGCAGAGTGCGGCCGCGCGGGTGGTAATGGGAGCGACATGGCGCTCCCATGTAACACCTCTCCTGCGCGAGCTGCACTGGCTCCCGGTGGTCTTCCGGGTGCGCTTCAAGGTTTTGGTTACCACCTTTAAAGCGCTCCATGGCTTAGGGCCTGGTTATTTACGGGACCGCCTACTACCACCAATAGCCTCCCACCGGCCAGTACGCTCTCATAGAGAGGGACTCCTCCGGGTGCCGTCAGCCAAACAGTGTCGACTGGCGGCCCCTAGGGGGAGAGCCTTCTCTGTGGGGGCACCTACCATCTGGAATGAGCTCCCCCCGGAGATACGGAGGATCCCGGATCTGCGCTCCTTCCGCCGTGCTGTGAAGACCTTTTTATTCCATCAAGCGGGCTTGGCCTGATCTCTTCCCTTTTTAAATATGTAAATTTTAATCTGTTTTTAAATTATTGGGGTATTTTAATTTGTCTGGGCCAAAAAGTTTAATTTGATTTTATCGGGTTTTTAAATTTTGTGTATTTATGTATTTTATTGTTGGCTGTTCACTGCCCTGAGTCCTTCGGGAGTAGGGCGGTATACAAATCAAATAAATGAAATAAAATAAAATAATAAAGGCCCTTTCCACTTGCAGCTCACACCTTGCTGTTGTCAGCCTCTTTTACGGGACACCACCTTAGGAATTTTGTGCCTATTTGGGATTGTACACTGAGATTGTATATCTCAGTGTTCTTTTCATATATATTTTTTTTTGTGCCTAAAAAGAGATTCAAAGAAGGAATTAAGCATTTCTGCATTCACCATTTAGGTCATTCACACGTGGAATCCTTCCCAGTCTCTCTAGAAACTAGAAACAGATTAACAGAGTTGGAAGGGACCTTGTAGGTCATCTGGTCCAACCCCCTTCCCACCAAGCTGGAGATCCTACACCATTTCTGGCAGATGGCTGTCCAGTCTCTTCTTGAAAGCTTCCAGGGATGAAGCTCCCATAACTTTGAAAGCAACTTCTGTTCCATGGGTTGATTGCTCTCACTGTCAGAAAATTTCTCCTTATTTCCAGGTTGAATCTCTCCTTGTTCACTTTCCATCCATTATTTCTTGTCTGGCCTTCAGGTGCCTTGGAAAACAGCTTAACCCCCTCCTCTCTGTGGCAGCCACTCAAATATTGGAGCACTGCTATCATGTCTCCCTGGTCCTTCTCTTCACTAGACTAGCCATGCCCAGTTCCTGCAACGGTTCATTGTATGTTTTAGCCTCCTGTCCCCTAATCATCCTGGTTGCTCTTCTTCCTTTTTCATGTGCATCAAGTGCAAGACACGTAAAATGATTGGGGCTTCTGGAGCCTGGAGGAGGCCGTTTTCTCCCTCCCAGAGGCTCAAGGAATGTCTCAGAGCCTGGGGAGGGTGAAAATGACTCCCCACCATGGTGCAGGAGGCTGAGTAGCCCATTCTCCCCACAGCCACGCCTACCCAGCAACTGGGCAGAGAACCATTTGCTAAAATTTTTCAATCCCACCCCTGAATTAGACTTAGACTTATATACTGCTTCATAATGCTTTACAGACCTCTCTTTTTTTAAAAAAAAAAAGTGTTTTTTATTTTTGTTTTTCATAAGCATATTTAAATGTACAATCTCTTATCCATCATTAATGCATTTTAATGCATTAATGCATCATTAATCATTTGTTAATTGTTTGGGACTGCTCTTTTACCATTTCCTCTCCTTTGTTTTTCCACAACCTTTCCTCTTCCTCTTTCCTTCTCTTCCTTCTTCTGTCTCTTTCTACTTTCTGCATTCCTCCTCTTTTACAACCCTCTCTAAGTGTCTTATAGAGTCAGCATATTGCCCCCAACAATCTGGGTCCTCATATTACCGACCTAGGAAGGATGGAAGGCCACGTCAACCTTGAGCCGGTGAGACTCGAACTGCCAAATTGCAGGCTGCCGGCAATCAGCAGAATTAGCCTGCAGTACTGCATTCTAACCACTGCGTCACCACAACTCACCACCTTGGAATGAGCTCCAAAGGATCAGAGAACTGGATTTGTGAAGAGCATAGTAGTAAGCGAAGCAGAGAGAGAGATAGTTTGTGAAGCCTCCAATTATAGGATGGGTAGGAAAGGGGGCTACAGCAGCAGATCATTAGATAGGAAACTCTTAAGCCAGCAATCATCATTTAAAAGCAATTCATAATGACATTATATGGTCAACAATTAGAGTTTTTAAAAGTTACACTGCTGTGTGCCCTTCTAAGACACTCTTAAGGTTTTGGGCAGGATTTTGTGAGCCTCTGGTGCTCACCACATACTTCAAACTAAGTCTCTTCAGCCCTAACAGAGATTATGGCAAGTTTATATGGGAGTCCAAACTATCTATTGGGCATCAGTGGCATATAGGCTTTATTATGAGAAATAGAAACTCAGGACTATTTTAGCTAAAGCAATTATTTTCCTTTGATTTTAACCCAGGGAAAAGGACATTCAATGAAAAACTAGCTCACCTTGAAAAACCCTGAATCTCTTGAAGATATCATCAAAGAAAGTATCACACGTGATTTAGAAACAAAAGCAATATTCTTATTCTTATTCCTAGGTATGGCTGGTCAAACAACTGCCAAAGAAGAGATCTGTCAAAATGGAGTCGGGGCTGCAACTTCTGAGGCTGATGATCCTGCTCTTCTCTCCCTCCTCCTGTGATGGAAATCATGTTATTTCTTATATAACCAATTATGATTGGCTATATTGATTCTCTGCTTGTATCTCCCTTGTTGGGATGAATGGATCTCTCTGCATACAAATGATGATTTTTAAAAGATTTCTGGGTAGGGAATGAGGGAATAAATTTCCTTTTCAAATTCTTAAAAACCTGCTTCAATAAAACGTGTATTGTGCATTATGCCTTTCCCTGTTTCATGCTTTATTTATTTTCTTTCATCTTTCATGATTCCTGCGTAATTGAACAGGCTACAATCACTCCTCTGGCAGAGCAGATCTATGCAACCACATATGTTAGAGGTCCAAAGCTTAACTTCACCAGACAGAGATCCTGATGCAGCTCTTCATACAATACTAGTAAACTTTCTTGAAATTGTTATTTATTTATTTATTTATTTGTATCCCACCCTTATTATTTTTACAAATAACTCAAGACAGCGCTCATATCCAACACATCTTCCTCCTATTTCCTCACAACAACCCTGTGAGGTAGGTAGGACTGAGAGAGAGAGTGACTGGCCCAAACCCACCCAGCTGGCTTTCATGGCTATGGCACGACTTGAACTCACAGTCTTCTCCTTCCAGCCTGGTGCCTTAATTGTGAGACTAAACTGGCTATTCATGAAAATGTCAGGCTCGAAATCAAGGATAACACATGGTAATTTTTGCCGGTGATTTCTTTATTGTTTCATCGGTTTATTAGGAGTCGTAATGCTGGTTATTAAATTCCTTTTTAAAAGGTTAGTAGAGATTGTCAGCTGTAAAAACTTACATGGAACATGGTGAGCATACATGTACATTACATTAAGGTTTTTCTTTGAATCAACTTCCAAAATGCCCCCTTGACATCCTTGTTTCTCAGGCTGTAGATCAGAGGATTGAGCATGGGAGTCAGAGCCCCGTATGTTAAGGATATGACCTTGTCTTTTTCAGAAACAGATTTCCCTTCGGGTCTCAAGTACATGATCATAATTGTTCCATAAAAGACACTGACCACAGCAAGGTGAGAACTACAGGTGGAGAAGACTTTTCTGCGTCCCTGGGTAGAGCTGATATGTCGTATAGCCAGGCCTATGCGGATGTATGTCACAACTATGAAGCCAAAGGGAGGGAATACCAGAAAGAAGCTGGAGATATGCATAAAGAGCTCACTGACTCTGTTGGAACAAGCCAGTTTGAGTAAAGATTGCAGTTCACATGCAAAATGGTTGATGGTGTGATGGCCACAGAAGTCGGTGGGCTGCAAGAGCACGTTGACCAGTGTCGTCATGAAGGCAAGGGCCACTGACATGGCGACTAGATAAAAGCATAATTTCCAACTCATGATCTGCGTGTAGTATAACGGCTGGCATACAGCTGCCAAGCGATCATATGCCATGACTGCCAAAATGATGCACTCTGTTGCAACCAGAAATACACCCATGTATATTTGGACCAAACATCTAGAGAAAGAAATTGTGGGCCTGTAGATGAAGCAGTTCACTAAAATATCAGGAACTGCATTGTTGCTAAGAATAAAGTCTATTGTGGAAAGGACACAGATGAAGAAATACATGGGGGTATGAAGTTGGCGGTCAGCAATGATCAATATGATGATGACTCCATTGCCAAGAATGCTAATGAGATACATCATCAAGAGGAACCAAAAGAGAATAATCTGAGCTTTGGGATATTCTGATAATCCGATCAGGATGAATTTGGTCACCAGTGATTCATTTGAAGTTCCTATCTTATTTTCTCTCATTCTCTCCTGCAGGAAAGAATGAATGGTTGATTACTGACAACATTCAAAAGAGATGCAATATCTTCACTTTAAATTTTTAGATTGGTAAAGCTGTATCGAAAAAATAAAAATGCAATAAAAACTGTTTGAAAACTACTTTGCACATCATGCTTAGACAGAATTTGTTCTAACCATGATTTATTGAATACAATTGTTGGATTCTCACATGGGTAGCTTCACACACTGCATTAAAGTACATGTTGTTTGCAAACTGCAGTGACCGCATAAAATGCTTAGCCAAAACTCAGTAAGCTACATTCTGTCTCATAGGTAGGTATTCAAATGCAACCGATAAGAAATCTATTTCCAGAAGTAATGAAAGCAGTAAACTGGCAGCCGTGGCTTCAATCCCACCCATAATTTACCAGTAGATCAGTAGAAACTGAACAAAAATGTCCTGAGTTAACTCATTAGAAGCGATGAGGTAATGTTTGGATAATTCACAAAGCAAAGTAGAATCAATGCTGATTTCAAGAACACTATCCTTTCTTTGTTGGATCTGACAGAGCCAAAAAAAGGAGTGGCACTCAGGGTACATTGTAAGCAAGTAGAGTTTGTTATTACTAAACCTGAGGTATTTCTATTAAGATATCAAACTTAGCTTTGTTTTTCTTTGCTTTATTATGCTATAAACATTGCACTGATATTTTAATGATAATACTTTGGAATTATTGTTAGTTAAAGGATGATCAGAATTTCACTTAATGGCACAATTCATTCTTTGGGAGGTTGGAAAGATTGCAGAAAATTATGTTACTATTCAGAATAGAAAATAGGCTGATGATTTTATTAGAAAAAATAACTATATTCTAGGTAGTCCATTCACAAACTATTCAGGACACTTTTTTTGTGCTGTACTAGAATCCAAAGGAGAGGTTATAAATCAAATTCTTGGTCTCCCTGGGTTGTCATTTCCCATAAAAGATTAAGATTGAGAACGGAGGTTGGTTAGACAACTAAATCTCACAAAAAGAAAAACATTCTTGCAATGAAAGGTAAAGAGAGTAGAGAGAGAAGAGATGCTTGCAACAAGTTCAGCCTTCTCAGAAAAATAAGCATTAGAATTACCAGAAGACAATTCATTTCAGTAGCAGTTCCATTCTCATTCCTTTTTTTTTTTGCCTCAGTCTTCTGTTTAATTAATATTTACATCTAGACTTCCTTTTTCTGTCCCTTCTTATCTTTTTGAATTAGCCTTTGTTCAGAATGGATAATTTAAAAGTCATTCACCCTATTTCTTTCTCAGATCCTTTAGTGGCAAACATAAGAGATGGTCCTGCTGTGTCTGTAGATGTATGCGCACACAAATACAGACCCATAAACCCCACCACCACACACAGATATGATGGAGTTGGACATCTGCTCCTTGTGCTCACTTCATAGCAACTGCATATGTTTGCCACCAGGCAAAGCTCCTTCTGAAAACAGGGCTTCAAAGTCTCCTGTCTAGATCAAGGACTCCATGAATTCACAATTTATTTTACAAATACAAATAGAGAACAACTTACCCACTTAAATTATCTTCTGTATTTGTCTTTTTACCTCTGAAGTTTTGCTTATCCGGTGTTCTTCCAATGATAAATGGTCAAATATGTTCTCTGCATCATATATATACAGTACGCTAAGCGTAGTGGTCCTCATTGCATTTGCTTTTACTTCTGAGCCACAGCTCGAGAGGAAAAACAAGCACTTAAAGGGGAAAAATTTTAGCAGAAGGATAGTGTCTTAGATCTATTTTTTGCCTCGGCATTAAGAACAACAGTCAGTTCCTTGAGGTAAAAGGTTTTTTTTTTTCATTCTCATCTTTTCCCCAGTGGGTAATAAATGCCATTTCTGCTGGAAGAAGGCCGAGATAAAATTCCAAGGACAGGTCTTTAATTGCATTTCAAGGGAATTTCCTGCCCGTTAGGTTTAAAGTCGAAAAGATAAATTATTTCATCATTTAAATTCAACTGTGCCATTCTTTTCCAGAAGGACAGCTTTACAGCAAAACCAATCTTTTTTAGTTTCTCAGAGACTGACAACATTTATAGCATAAAATGGCTGTAGAAGCCAGTGTTCTGGTGTGCTTCACAACCAAATGAGAATCCAGCAGTGGGAGAATAGTTTAACGACCACATAGAAGGGGGCGGTCCCACAGGAAGCTTGCGGAACCAATGAGAGACTCCCTCCTGAGGTCCCTGCGCAACCTGTTTTTGGCCAGTAGAGTGCTGCTGGAGGCTGGGGAGGCCAAAAATGGTCCATGTGGGGGGCCCGTGTGGCTGCTTTTCGGCCCATTTTTGGCCCTTTTTCGGCCCATTTTTGGCCCCTTTTGGGCTGGCAGAGTGCTGCAGGAGGCCATGTAGGGTGAAAATGAGGCATGGGGGGCTTGTTGTGGTTCGCCAGCAGCCTGCACGGATTGTGGCTGATCCTGATGTGGAGGAGGCTGGTGTGGTGTCGCGCCAGCAGCCTGTGCAGCCAGTGCTCGAGTCGGACAGCAAGGAGGCTGAAGAAGATGTGGTGCCAGAGGCAGAGATTCAGCCAGGACCTTCAGATCCTCCAGAGGCTCCTTCAAGTGAAGAGAGTGAAGTGGAGGAGCCTCTTCTCAATGCACGAGCACGCAGAGCTGACAAAAGGCAAGAGTGGTTATTCAGGAGGAGGTCTCCTTGAGAGTAAGGCTTGGGGCTAATTGGCCACTCCCTTAGCCTATTTAAGTTTGCACACAGCTGGCAAACATTGCAGGAAACAATGTGTGTTCGTCTGGTCGTTTGTTGAGCATTTGAGAGTGAATTTTCCTTGCAAACCTGGTTTCTGGGCTAATTGCCAACTCTTTATCTAATCTTTGGAATTTCTGGCAGGCTGTTAAGGACATTTTTAGTAATAGCCTGCATTTGAAAAAGACTGTGTTTGTAGTAAATGGAGTTGTTCGGAGTTTTGTGTGTGCTACATTTCTTGGGTTCCGTAGCTGGGGCAGAACAGGGTTGCACATGGCATGTTTTAGCCAGCAGAGGCACCATGGGCCGGTCCTTTGATATTTTCAGGCCTGTCCCACGGGCCAGATTTAAGCATCCCACAGTCCGAATCCGGCTCACGAGCCTTAAGTTTGACACCCCTGCCTTAGCTCGTGCATCTCTCTGGGGGTCATGGAATACAGCTTTCGCTTAGGCAGTTTAGCTCCTGGCAAAAATTCTATCGCACAGTCGGTGGGCCAGTAGGGAGGCAGGTTGTTGCATTCTTGTTCACTGAATGCATTGGCCCTGTATTCTTTAAGGACCTGGGGGCAGCCTGGTGATGATTTGGCACTGGTGGCAGTTTTCTCACAGGTCTCCGGGTCACATGGCAACACCATTGGTTGGGCTTTGCAATGAGGGCGAGGTGGCAATGGTCCCACTCCTAGTCTCACCTTCCTACAGCCATCCTCCCATGTGATGGTGGGTGCCCATTTGTCAAGCAGGCTAGACCCAGAATAGCAATAGCAATACCACTTAGACTTATATACCACTTTACAGTGCTTTACAACCCTCTCTAAGCAGTTTACAGAGTCAGCATATTGCCCCCAACAATTTGGGTCCTCAGGATGACTGACTGCATCATTTTTGGTGCCACCACAAAGCGGATAAGTTCCCAGTGGTGGCCGATCTCCAGCCTCACCAGCTCGGTGTCTAGGGTGTCTGAGGCTCCACCTATTAGTGTCCCATCAACTTGCTCGAAGCATATCAGGCACACCAGTGGCATTGTAGTTATTCCTAGTTTCTGGACGGTGGAAAGGCTGATTAGGCACTGGGTGCATCTGGTGTCTATGATGGCCTCTATGTCTCCCTGGGCTACTATTCTAGGCACTACTATTCCTGACTTTATGGTGAAGGGTCAGATTGCTTCACTTACCATCAGGTCATCTTTGCTGTCACCGCTGCTGTCACTAGGGGCAGCTGGCAGGGTTTCCAGGGCTGGAGTTCCCTCAACCTCGAGAGGAGGGAGGAGATCTCAACGGCTTGCCAGGCGAGCTTCTCTTTCTCGGCTGGCTTGCATGGGGTCTCCTTTGCCACTGTAGGGGTCCAGGCCTGAGGGATGGGGGATGGAGCCAGACACTCCGATGCTCGATGGCCTTGTTGGCTACATCTAAAGCACTTAATGGACCCAGTTGGGGTTGGATTTAGCTCTTCCAGCTGTCTCGAGCTTGACCAATGACCTAAGGCTCTCTTGGGTTTCTTCTCTGGAGCTGCTTTTCGATGCAGGTGGATTTTGAGGCTCATGGCCACCGCCACTCAGTACCACTCATGTATGCATTCGGGGACACCCAGGCAGGTGCATCCTTGCCGCAGATCTAGGACTCCTTGAAGTAATGGACAAAGAGGTGTTCAGGCCAGTACCACAGTTTTCCCACCACTCTACGGAATTCCCACATCAGTTCATTTGCGGGGTAGTCCTTTTGCTTGAGGTCCCTGATCTCAGATTCGGCCTCTTGTCCTGAAGCCATGTTCTCGAACCGTGTTCTCAGCTCCTGCAGGAACTCATCAGCATCTCCAAGATTGGGGGGGGGGCTTCATCATGCAGTTGGGTCACCCATTCAGCCGTTTCACCTTCCATGTTGTTGGTGATGGATAAAATCATCTCCTAATCTGATTGGTACTGGTGTCCATAGCAATCAATGTGAGCCCAGATTCAATTCAGGAAATAAGCCAGTTTCTCAGAGCTCCCATCAAAGGTGGCCCTGAAGCACAGTGGGGCAGCTGGCAGTGCAGGCAGGGATGGGCGCCATGGGTTTCGGTGCCCATTGGTACTGGATGCATCCTGTTCCGACCTAGGCTTCCTTAGAAAATAAACAGCAAATTTAGTCCCGGCAAACCTCTTTAATTCATACAGCTGTAAATTACTCTCATTTACAGTCCGCAAGGCTTGATAAGCAGTCTTTCAGAGGAAGGTTATCAACACCCATCTATCTCACATGGAATGCTGCCAAAGAGCTAATTTCCAGATGCAGGGCAAGGCCAAACTTGGAACAGAGTCACAAACAGAAGTTTCAAATCTTGATCAGCCAGATGAACTAACTGCTTCCTGAAAAAGCTCATATTCCGTTCGCTTCTCTTTTATGTCTTATGGGAGGGGCCAATCATCTCCAAGCCTTACTCCAAAGATCCTGTTTCCTTAATTGTTCCTGTCTTCTGGCAGCTCTGTACATGCACACACTGGGAACAGGCTCACACTATTCTTCTGCCTTGCTGATATAAGACTCCGCAGACTCCAGAGACAGCAAAGAACTACCAGATGGCCTTGGCCCTCTCTCTGCCTCCAACTCAAAGCTGTCGTCTGAGCCTTCCCCAGACTCCAGGACTGGCCCACATTCCACCCCAACCTCCTCACTGTCCGAATCTGCTGCCAGCTCTGCTGGACTCTGCTGGCCACAACACATCCCTGGCCGGAGTAGTAGGCCCAGCCAGGGGGGATTTAGTCCACCAGTGGCAAATGGAGGGGTTTTTGATGTGGCGGTCTGACTGGCCTTAGCAGGCCAAAAACACTCTGTTGCAGCCCCAGGCTGGACTGGCCAAGGGGTCTGACGGTTTGGCGGCTAACAGAGTTTAAGCTGTCAAACTGGTAAATTGGGCCTGCTGAGGGAGACTTGGGCATTATCTACTGTGCCAAATGGAACAAGGAGGAAATTCCGCTCGGGGTGGTCACGTTCCCCTGGGTAGGAAAGATGAAACATGGCTTAGGACCTGGTTATTTATGGGACCGCCAGCTACCCCCAATAGCCTCCCACCGACCAGTACGCTCCCATAGAGAGGCTCCTCCAGGTGCTGTCGGCCAAACAATGTCAACTGGCGGCCCCAGGGGGAGAGCCTTCTCTGTGGGGGCACCTACTGTCTGGAATGAGCTCCGGAGATACGGAGGATCCCGGATCTGCGTACCTTCCGTCGCGCACTCAAGACGTTCTTATTTCATCAAGCTGGCCTGAAATGGATTTGGTTTTAAATTATTGGGGTTTTAGTTCAGCCAAATTATTTAATTTGTTTTATTCTATTTTAAATTTTGGTTTTATTCTATGGCTGTTCACCGCCCTGAGTCCTTCGGGAGTAGGGCGGTATACAAATTCAATAAAATGAAAAATGAAATGAAATGAAATGAAATGAACATCGGCTGGACCAGGGCTTGGTGGTATTGACTCAGGGTGCTGACACTCAGTTGACCGACCCTCTCTGGCAGCCCATCCAAGGTCTGGCTTTGTGACAGCAGTTGGGTGCCCCATTCCTGGGACTCACTGAGGTCCAGGGACTGCATGGCTCTCCACTCAAGGACAGTGGTGCACTCTGCCAGCGTCAAAGCAATCTGGCATTCCTGGAGCATCAGGTGGCCAGTTAGGTCCTCCTTCACCCAGTAGAGCTCTTGGGCCATTGACTTTGTCTTTGTCATATCACAAATATCCATGCCACTCACATCTCACGTCATATCCTCTTACTCTACAAACATTCTATTTCACAGCAACATTTTTCATCCAGCAAGCTGCAAAATACAGCAACAAATCAGGTAAACTCAATCCTCCTCTTTTCTTTGTCTCTTGTAGCACCTCATATTTAACTTGCAGGTTTTTTCCCTGCCACACCAATTTAGATATGTAATTCCATCACTGTTTA